CAATTAGGAGGAATGGATACCTATAACAGTCAAGACGATCCATCTCCATTTGGAGATCACCGTCACCAATTTCAACAACAATTCTGGACAGATGAAGATGAAGAAGAGCGTTTTGCAATGAGGCAATTACCTCCATTACCTAGAAGACAACCCCAAAATGTTAATTTTTATGGAAGAAATTTTTAAAGAAAATGAAAAAATAATTAAATATTTGGTGATCTCATTTGGGTGTTTTTAAAAGGAAATAAATTTGTTTTTAATTGCCATTTTGTTTTTAAATTTTGTTTGTAATTTTTTAAAATAAAATTGACAATTAATTATTTGGATTTGGTCTTAATTATTTTTTAGTAAAAGGTTTTTAAAGCAATTTTCTTTTCTTAAACTTTCTTTTTCGAATTTCTAGCTTTTCAAATTTAAATAATTTTTATAATAAGAGGAAGGTTGGATTTTTAAAAAAATTATTGGATAAACTATAAAAATAATTTAAATAATATTTACATTTATTTAAAATTATAAAAACCCAAGGACACAATCGATTGTTAAAAGGCCTTGACAACCATTGGATACATGCAATTGTAAAAGAACAGAAATAATTATTTTAAAATAAATCTTTTTTTAAATTCTTTTTTGTTAAATTTTTTTAAAAATATTTTTATTTTTAAATTTGCTCATAAGAAGAAATATTACTAAAATGTAAATAAAGTAATTCTTCCACAAAATTTATTGGAGAATAATTTTTTAAACAGAAAAATCTAATAAAAATCCTAGATATCCCCAACTTTTGGTTTTAACTTGTCAAAGTATATATTTGAATACAAAACTAGATATTGGATCAAACTGACGTCGGAATCATACCGTTTCTAGGTTTTGACATGCTGCCCTAATTATAAATATTCACGAACAAATACTAGCCCTTACATATTCTCGTTCAAATCCCCTTTTTGAAATTTACAATTTTAAATTCCTCACACTCCCCATGTGATTACCAATTAAAATAAAATCTTTCCCTCCTTCAATCAATTTGTACATATTTAGGGTCAACAACCAACCAACCAGCCACCTAACAAATAATAAAAAAAAAGGAGAGAATCATCCTCTCCATTTTCCTTTTGCCATCATAAAAACTCGTTTTTGCGCCGTCGTCTTCCTCTAAAAATTTCCCATGTTTACGACTTTCCACCTCTTTTCAAATATCCCCCCAAAAATTTTTAATTTCTTTTCCTTTTCTTTATTTTTTTCTTTGTCCTAAATATTCAAATTTTATTACTTTTTCCATGGAATTATTATTTTTATTTTGAAATTTTTAATCAATATAAACACAATTTATAACTAGGCGTGAATGTTTAAATCCCAAAAGCTTTCATCCCTTCATTAGGATCATTATTAAAAATATTATTCCATCACTAAAAAATATTTTAGTCAGTTTTTGGGTTTTCAACCAATGTCATGGAAATTAAAAATTTTAAAAGACATACCTCTCATTCTGTTAAGAAGTGGCATCCTAATTATATTCGAAGTCTCCATCTATTAGAAATTAAAGATTTACAGTTTGTTTAATAAGGTACCACTTAATTAGAAAGCTGATAACCTTCTAATAATAAGTGCGGCTTATTGAATGTTTCCTCCAATATCTGTAGATATTTTACACTCATTCTAACTCTTAAAAATATTAAAAAATATTTTTTACTTTCTTCTAGTATTTCTGTTCATGTTTTGCATAATTCCATTATTTACAATTAAAAATGCCTCTTCAACTAATAAAAGATAATTTATGGGGAAATATATCAAAATTAAGAATAACAACTTTAATATTAACAATTTCAGCAGAATTTCTTTTATTTATAGCAACATTAACGCCTTCCTGGCAAGTTGCGGAAGATACAGATATTCATAGAAATATCCAAAGCGGTCTTTGGATTTATTGTCCAGGACAATCACAATGCTGGTATATATTTAGTGATGATTTAATTAGTAAGTTTTTTTTGTAAATAAAATGAAAGAAAGTTTATAATTTGATAGATAATGATTTAAAAATTTACATAGATAACTCAAACTCGGTATGAGGATTGTATGTATAATTTGATAGGTAAGAGTTTCTCCTTTGGAGAGGCTTATACATATTGTACTTCCCTACAAGGAAAATATAATTAAAGCACTTAAGATTAACCAAGTTGGCTTAGGAAACATCTAATAGTTGATCAACAGGCTTAATTTTGTGTTGGGCTTTTTCAATTTTAAATAAATATTAACCTGATTATAAATTTTATTTCAATAGATTATTATGAACGTGTAGAAGTTTGTCGATTTTTATTAATTGGAGATTGCCGTAAAAAATTATTGAGAACTCCCTACTTTTTTGGTTGGCATTATGCTGTTCTTATTTTAATGTTTATTACTTTATTACTTGGAGGTGGAGCTATTTTAGCTTTGGGAATTGGAATTGTTAAAGAAAACTTACTTAGAACTATGACTGTAAGGGGAATTTAGATATGTTAAAAAATATATCTTTTTAGATAATTTTGGATGTTTTGCTGGGGTTTGCTTGTAAGAATTAAATTTTTAAAAATATTAATTTTTAAAAATTAAAAAGTTTTACTTTGTGGAATTGGGTTAGCTGTTTTTATGATAAATGGAGAAATGTTAGAATCTCGTTATTTAATTGGTGTACAAAATATATTTCCTGTTTAGTTTTTAATTTTTAAATTAATTAAATATTTTTGTTAGAAATCTTATGGATATTCTTTTTATTTGGCATGTTGGGCAATGCTTGTTTTGCTTTTTGCATTAATGTACAATTTAATTGATAAAAATATATTTGGACCAGTTCTTATTTTCTTAATTTTTATTTACTATTCCTTAAAATATTTCTACTTTTATAAATTTATTTTGAGTTACTTCCTAAGTAAAATTACGGGGAATTTTGAATCTTTTGAAGTTTTTTTTCAATATATACTCACACTCACTGGGCCAATTTTAAATGGCCTTTCATTTGCCTTCCTAAACCTAATATACCGTAAATGCTGAAATAATTACCGTGGGTAATTATTGTTTGAATCTCTCATTGGAGGGGGTAATTATTAGGGAGGATGTGCTGCTTTAGGTTATATCTCAATCCAAATGAGGTGAAATTGAATTATTTTTTGATATTGAGTATTAAAATTTTCCACTAATTAAATTTGATAATAATTTTTTAAATATTTTTAAAGTTTGCGTAAAATAACTAGAGGGTAATTATTTGAGAGAGTAACTATTTCAGCATTTACGGTGTGTATACCTAATTCTAATTTATCCAAAAATACCCTCCTAACTATCAAATCCTTCTTTTTTTTATTTTTAGGAGTGCCATATTACTTACCAGTTCAGTTTTCTTTTCCCGAGAAGTAGATGCTGGTTCCCCAGTTCCATATGGAGATTATGATGAGGAATATAATAATAAAGAAATACTTCCCCCACCAATATTAAAATGGCAACAACAAGAACAATTTGAATATCCTTCACAATATTATCCAGAAATGGAAGGAAGAAATAGTAGAAGAATTGATGATAATAGTTTAATATTTAGACAAGTAAATTAATTAATTAATTTTTTGGGAAGGTTGTTGTTCTCTCTCGTTTTCCCTTCCACTGTTCTCAAAGTAATCGTCCTCTTAATTTATTATTCTTAAAACAAAAGTCATCAACTACTTTTCGGGGAAATGAGGGATAATTTAGGCTTCCCTCCCCCCCCCCCCCCCCCAATTCCCAAATTTTTATTTTCAAAAGTATTTTTTAGCCTTCTCCTCCTCCACTACAATATCAACAATCTCCAGTAAGATTTGAAGATTACAACAACAATATAAGACAGCAAACATTTCAAAAACATTATTACGCCCCAATTAATGAAATAACCTCAATTCCTTAATTTTTTAAAATCTCATTTTCTAATTTTTATTTTCTTAAATAACTTGAAGAAATAGTTAAATTGAATTTTTTTTATTTTATCTATTTTTTATCCAAATTAATTAATTTTAATTTATGCAGCAAAAAAGCAACAAAAATATTTAAAGTATTATTTACATTAAACATCCCCCATAAATTTAAAAATAATTAAGGATCTTTCAGAATTAACTAGAGAGTAGAGATCGAAATTTTTGAAAAGCCTGGACCTGTTCCTGGACTCTGGGTTTGATTTATTGACCTGGACTGGGTCCTAGGCCTTTAGTCCAGGAAAAACCCAGGCCTAGAAAAACCTAGGAAGGTCAAAAAATGCCTGGACTGGACTCTGGGTACAGGAAAAACCCAGGCCTTGGTCCAGGTCCAGCTCGATCTCTACTAGAGAGTTAGTTAACTGTAATTTTTTAAACAGAAATTTTTTTAGTACCCCAAAACCTATCGAAAAAATTTTCAGTTAAATAGTCCCTTAAAAAGTTTTTAGTTTATAATAGTTTTTGTTAATTTTAAAAATAATTAAACAAAACAGAAAAATAATACATAGTAGGTAAATAATTACAAATTTTTTAACAAAACTAAAAAAAATATAAAAAATAATATTTAAATACATACAAAATATTTACATAAAAAATACTCGTAAAAGAGTTTATATAGATATAAACAGGGAATGTTTAATTTTATGTCTTCATATTTAAAAAAATGGAAGGGGGACCAAATCCGATGGGAATCAACCAAAAAAAGCTTTAATTAAATAAACTGAGTAGATAATTTTGAAAAAAATTGGCCCGATTCAAATTACAAAAAATGTTTTGGTTTTTTCGATTTTGTTAAAAAGTTACTTCATCTTGGACCCAAAAATATTTGTCGGTTAAGTAAACACAATCGGCTATTTAAAAATATCTCCCCTTCCCCTATTTTTTAAAATTAATTATATTCTGTCTATCTCTTGGAATAAATAAACACAAAAGGGGTAGAGCTGTCCGAGACCGAAAAACCCCAAGAAAAGTTTTGAGTCAAGACCAAGAGTCTCGGACAGCTCTAAAAAGGAGCACCTTTCTAAAATCTACATATTATTGTGAGTCATTATTAATAACAAAACTAAGAATGTCTGTATGTGAAATAACACCACATAAACGTTCTCCTTTTTCATTATTTGTTGACTTTGGTGAGGAAGGAGATGATGAGGTTGGCTCGGTAATAAATAAAGAACTAATGAGATTATCCTGAAAATTAGAAGAAAATTAGAGACTAAAATATTTTTTTATGATTTTGGAAATTGAGGGCGAGTACGGATGTCAATGTTTCAAGGATAGATCCTGAAGACGGGATATAATTCCGGAAGCCAGTCCAAACTCTATTTCTTAAATTTATTTCCCATCCCCTTAATAATTAATCAGCCTTTTCAATTCTTTGTCATTGCCCTTCCTAATTTATAAAATATTTTTAAATATTTCCTCACTTCCGTTAAAATGCGCATAGCATCAACAACAGAACAATTAGGAGAAACAGTTCTACGTCTTGTTTGGGAAAGTAAATCCTTAAATTATTTAAAATTAAAAATAATTTTCTCCCAAACTTTCTCAACCTCAACAGGAGTTTCCTCCATAAGTCTAAAACAACGTTCAGGTGTTTGATGGGAGCCTAAATGTTCAAATAGCCTATCCAAAAGTCCATTTTTGTCTAAAACACCCAAAAGGGTTCCATCATTTGAAGAAAGTACAGGAAGTGAAGAAACTTGCCTTTAAATTAAAAATTTTTTTTTCAAAAAATTTTAGAAGAAAAAAACTTTTCTAAAAATAAATCAATTGCTTGAGCACAACTTTGGCCTTCTTTAATTGTTGCTATACTTTCTGGCCCTCCCCAAATTCCAATAAGACGAGAGCCAAGAGTTATTGATTTTAAATCTGGAGATAATGAACAACCAGAAGAAACTAGTTTTAACAATTCTTGGGTTATTTGGCGAGGACTAAGTACTCCAACTAATTCAAATGATTCAACATTAAATACAGGAACTCGATGGACACGATTTAATGCAAAAACGCGTGCCAAGTCCCAAGCACTGTAAAATTAAAGGAAATTAATTGAAAAAATTGTAATTATATTTTTAATTAAAAAATAAATATTTTTGGTAAAATTGGTTTTAAGTAAGGAAAGCAATAATCTTTAGTTTCGTCCAAATTCCGATAAAAAGCTAATTATTAATAGTTTTGATTCTAATTACTCTTAATGCAAAAATATATGTATATTTTGATATAATTTAGCCCATGATATAATGTACCGTATTTGCTAAAATAATTACCAAGGGTAATTACTGTTTCAACCTCTCGCTGTAGGGGGTAATTAATAGGGCGGGGGTAATTATTTGAGGGAGGGACATTATTTCAGCATTTACGGTGACCCTTTTCTTGGATGTCGTTATATTAAAGACTCTTTATATTAGAATAAATATGATATTTTGATATGTATAATGTAGTCAAGAATATTTTCCGAAAAAGAATAATTAAGTTTATTTTATATTTTTAAATTCAATTTTTCAAATTTTATTTTAAAAAATTCCAAAAATATTTTGCATACCAAGTCTGGTCATCAACGGAAATTAAACGTCTACCATTTTGAATTTGTTCAATAAAAAAGCGAAGAGTTTGCTCACCCAATTGGCCATCTAATTTACGATGTGCTTGGCTTAAAGCCAACAGACAGTCTGTCACTGTAAATGGGGCCCATTGACCGTCAACTATTTTTTAAATAAAAAATTTATTTAAAAATACTTTGGACTTTAATATTTTTAAATTACAATTTAAATACCTCTAGCATTTGCAATTACTGCAAAACGGGGGGCCATATGTGAACTGAGTAATTGAACAGCTTTTTGAATCTTAAAAGGGGAAGGGTAACTAAAGAGCAAGCAAGGATTTACTTGAAGTTCAGAATCCATCATTACAATCATTGTATGGACAGAGGATAAATCATAACAACTTAGTGACTGAAGAAAATTTCGATATGCTTCAGAATGGCAACTATCTAAATTATAAGGAACTGTTTATTTCTCATTTACATAAGACTTACGAAAAGACCCAACAACTTCAAAACGGTCAATACTTTTACGAAGAATTGCATAATTCTTTTAAAAAAGAATTTTAGAAAATTAATTTAAAAATTTTTACAGCATTAAGTAAAGAGCGTTCAGGAATTGAAAGTCTTCGATGTCCAGCCCTAGCTTTATCCGGACTTAAACTACTAGCAAATTTTCTTTCATCTCCGGATTGTCTTTGATGTCCCATAGAAAGTTTTCTAACAGCTACAATTCGTCTTTTACTACAAAAATCTTTTTCCTCAGAATTATTATTGTTATTGTTTGTTGTTGGGAACTAAAAAAATTAAATTAAAAATTAATTTGAAAAAAATAAAATGAGAGAAAAAAAGAGAGAGGGGGTGAAGAGGGGTAAACTTGATAAAAAAATATTTTAACTATTAAAATTCTCACAAGGCTGAACATTGAACAGATGATTTTAAAAAGGTTTTGTGTACTTTTTAAAAGGGTATAAATAAATATAAAGTTGAATTTAGTCTAAAGCTTATCGATTTGGGGGAGCCGGAATTAATTAATCATAAAACTTTTAAATCCTCAAGATTATAAAAAAAAGTACTTGAAAATTAAAATAAATAAAATTAAAAAATTAAAAAAGAAAGCACCTAATTAAATAGTATAATTTAAATAAATAAAATATAGAATATTTTGTCTCTCCATCCAAAAAATTTTTTTTATGAAATTTAATGAAATAAATGTAATAAATAATTGTTAGAAAATTTAAATTAAGATTGTTCACTACCGGTTATTAACCGGTACCCTCGGTTTTCGGTTAATCCAAATTTTAGAAACCCGGTTTTCGGTTTTGAGTTTTAGACAAATACCGGTTTTATTTTGGGGGAATTTTTAAAAAATCACTCATTTTTATGAGTTTCCGGTTTTTAAAATTTCATAAATACAGTTTAATTTTGGCAAAAAATATTAAAAAATCCAATTTAAAAACCCGTCTTAATCAACCCTAGTTTAAATTATAATGGAATTAATTAAATGGGAATTAAAATTTAAAAAAATAATTAAATTAACTATAAATTTACCAAAAATATTTATTTTTTTTTCTAAAAATAATTCCCAAATTTTTCTAAACATTTTTTGGGAAAAGGATCCATTTATGAGAAGCTGAGAATTATTTTTAAAGAAAAGGGAAAGGAGGGTGTGAATAAATAAAAAAAGAAACAAACAAAAAATATTTAACAATAAAGCTTATTTTCATTAAAATCGATTAAAAATAAAATAATTTGTTATTAAAAGATACTTTAAATTAAAAAATTAAAGATTAAAAAATATTTTAGAAAATTTCAAAAATTGCTTCGTAAAGACCAATTGAAATAGGAAAAGCCAAAGTGGTCGTAAACATACATATTTCCCCCAAAAATACGATTGTCCTAGGATTACCGTATAACCTGTATTAATTGCCCTCCCTCAAATAATTACCCCACTTCTATTAATTACCCCATCCAGTGATAGATTGAAACAATAATTACCCTCTCAGAAATGCCCTAAAACACGTTCAAATTTAAAACCTCGTATAATTACCCTCCCTCGATTAATTACTCCCTCCAGCGGAAGGTCGAAACAATAATTACCCAGGGTAGTTATTAAAGGATATACGGTACTTTTGAAAAAATAAAGATTTTGAAAAATATTTGGTATGAATTGATAGCCAATAAAAAATGCTACAAAAAATATATTTACAATAAATTCGTCTGAGATAATTTAATCGAGTTATCGATGGTTTTATTTTTTAACATATTGCCGAAATGTATAATGTTTAAAAGGAGACACAGGGCTGTTACTTTTAGTAAATTATACAGGTATTCAATTAAAATTTAATTTCTAAAAAATTACTTGAAGTCTTTAGGAAAGAAAATTACAAGTAATTGTCAAATACTTGATAATAAATAAAATTAAAAATATACATAGCCAAAAAATGTGAATAATTTTTAAAGATCGTTAAAATCTAAATAAAATTATTAAAATATTTATAAAAAAAATAAAGGAAATTCTCTAAAAAATAAAATAAACACAATTTCATGAACATTCCACAAAAAAAAATAAAAATTTATGGAACACACAAAATGATAAAAATATTGAAAAAAAGAGAGATTAAAGTGTTAAATACCCTCAAAAGTTTTTTTAAAATAAAAATAAAAAATCTTCTTTTTAATAAAAAAAAGTTCTTTTTCTTCACAAAAGTGTAAAATGATTAATTTAAAAATTAAAAAAGAATGTAGCCAAAAAATGTGTGATTTTTATTTTTAAAACAAAAGTTTTGAAGAAGAAAACACAAATAAAATATTCTCTCCCCTTCTAAATATTTTTTTATAAATTGTTTTCCCAAACAATTTGTGGTTGGAATGTTTAGAAATTAAATTAAATATATATCTGTTGCATCATTTTAAATATTATTTTAATTAATATTCAGGAATTGTTATTGTCCTTTTTTTAGAAGGAGAATTCGAGTTAAAATAAAAATTCCTCAGAATTTTTAAAAAAAGATTAAAAGAACGGACAGGAAGGGGGAAATTTTATGCTGCTCTCAAAAGAAAAATAAATAAAAACAAAATTTATTTAAAGAAATTTCCGCCTAAAAAGAGAGGGGGATTACCAATAACATTTCCGGAAAAGTTTATATTATTATTTTTCCTTAAACTTCTATAAAAAGCTTAATGTACTAACTATTTTTAGATAAAAAAAGATGAAAGAATTTATTTATTTATTTAGAATCCTTTAACAAAGCTATTTAAAGTATTTCATCTATTTTAGACAATGATCGAATACTTCCTTTCATTGACAGTTAGTTAACTATCTTCGTAAAGTTTATTTATAAATTGTTGGGATAGAGAGAAAGAGAGTGAACTATTTTTGAGTGTAGATATTTGGTAAAAAATTGTGATTTTTGGAGCAATAAATAAATAAATAGATACAAGACTAGAGGGTATTTCTAGAATTTCCAAAAAGGAGGAAGCTCAATAAAAAGGGCGGAAACCAAAAGTCAACATAGATTAGAAATAGAATCTTAAGCCCAAGAGAGTCATGATAAAGAAAGAAATTTTTGAGAAAAAATTAAATTCAATTCACCCACCCTATAAGTAACAGTTGTACAGCGCTCTCTAAATCCTCCCTCTTCTTCCTCAAAATCCTCCCCATCATTATTATCATCCAATACATTAACTTCGTCTGTTTCATTACTTCCATTTTTGCCGTCAATTGCTGATGTACTGATTTTGCTAATTTTTCGGCGTGGTTGTGAAGTCACGCTCAAACGATGCCCAGTTAGTGAAGCTACAGCATATTGACGCCAACTAAATAAATACATATATTTTAATAAACCCTGATTTTTCACATTATTCAAATACTTGTCAGTCCGGAATTAAATCGAAGAAACGAGGATTTTTTTGTTCGGTTCCGGATATCCGAAAATTTTCCAAGAACCGAAAACCTTAATTTTTTTACATTCTCTTACATCAAACTCAATATCAACTCTTACATATCCCAGATATAAGGGATGAAATAATACAATTAATTTTCTTTTATCAAATTAATCGCTTCAATCTATGTACTTAAATTATTCAAATACTTTCATCTATTAGATAGATAAATTGTGAAATTTATATGTATATTCTATAAAATATAAATTCGCACCTCTGACTTGTTTCTTCCATTTCTGGTGGAATAATGTTAGCCGGTGTTTCCTTTGGGTTAGGTAAAATACTAGCACATCCTTGTGTTATTTGGAAAGGACGTTCTCTTTGTTCCCAAATTGGTTCCATAACAAGTTCATTATTGCTACAATCTTTTGTGCAATTTAATTCCAAATCAGCAAAATCCAAAAGTCCTTCAGGTACAGGTATTTCTTCTTCAACATTAGAAGAATTTTGATGTTGATATGGAGGGGAGGAAGAATTATTACTACAAGCAATGCCTAAAATGCCAGGACGAAGAGAATGAGGTGGTGGTACTGGTTGTGGTGAAGAAAAATAACTATTTGAATAATAGGGAAGGAAGGCAGCTGCTGGAGGACATGGCAAAGGCACTGAAAATTATTAAATAAATTTATTTATTTTTAAAAAGTTTAAGAATCATAGTTACTTAATAATGATATATTTTGTAAAGCTGGAGAAATAAATATTAAAAGATTTAATTAATTTTTGGGGAACTGCTTTAGAGAATTTGGACCTATCAACATAAATAATTAAGGAAGAAGTTCAATAAAATTCACCGTCAGATAATAAAGTTTTTTTTTGATTCCTCAAACATTATTGTAGAAACATAAAAATAGTTAAACTTATAACATAAGCTATACAATCATTTAATTTATAAAAATCCGGCCCGGGAAATATAGTCGTTAGACCAATTTGTAAGGCATAAATTGAATAAAAATTTTCAAAATTTTATTTAATAGGGTTGTCCCCCGACGGGGGGGGGGGGGAGGCCACGGGGATAACTTTTCAGGGAGGCAGAGCTACGGGGGGGGGGGGGGGGGCTCAAATTCCCCGACTCTCGGGAACGGGGAAAAACCCAATTATTTAACAATCTCTACCGGGTGTTCTAGGATGTTTATGACGTTGTTGACCATTATAATGGTGATTTAACGAAGAATTGACACCATTAAATGTTTGTTGTTGAATTGTTCTAGTAGTTGTTGGTGTTGAAGTTTGGACATTATTGTTGTTGTGTACAATATTAAAATGTTGGTGTTCTGTAGTAGTCATTCTACTAGTATTTATTTAAAAAGTGAAAATATTTTAAATGAAAGTGTTTGTGCACGCAAACAATTAATTAAAGTACGGCACGTTAAAAATAAAAATGTTGTTTTTATTTTATTTTTGTAGTTATTAGTAATTGTTTTTGTGAATAAAAAAAGGAAAAATAAAAAAACTGTAAATAAATATATTAAAGAAATTAAAATTAAAAGCTAAATAAATGTTGGAAAAGAGAGAGATGTTTATCAGAAATTAAATAAATGTTTAGGTAAATAAATTATGAAAAAAAATACAAAATGTAGGGAAATAAAAATTTAAATGGAGATAACAGAAGAATGTCATTCAACTTTTTTAAAAAAATTCAGAATTTTAATTTAGGTGTTGGAAAGTAATAATTAAAAAATATGGTTCTACGAAATAAAAAACAAAAAAATTGTGGGAGTTAGCCAAAACAAAATATCGTAAATTCTCTAGTATAAGCACACCCTACAACAGGATCGAAAAATAAAAGCATATTACTTCCATTAGAGAATTTACGGTATATTTGTAAAAAGTAAGTACTTATCAGCTGGCAATAAATGCACGCCCAACTGATCCCAAAAATGGTACCAAACAAAATTAAATAGTAAAGAATAAATTATTTTTTAAATAAAGATGTTTATTTAAAATACTTATTTTAAACAAAAATTCTTTAAACATTCTCTCTCCTTCACTTTTTGTTTTAAATTTTATTTTCTTTTCAAAAAATAAAATTAATTATTTAATTTTCACTCACCATAAATTAAAAACATTAAAAATTAATAAAAGAAAATATTTTTTAAAATAAATAAAAATATATTTCATATGCTTAAAATAACGCTAGAGCACTTTTTTAGACATGTACATTTTTAATATAAAGGGCAAAAAAATTATTTTTATTTTAATAATAACAAGAAGAAAATTTAAAATAAAACGGGTAGCAATTATTAAAAATAAATGTTTTTTACAATAAATATTTTTAATATTTAATAATATTTATTTATTTTAGAGATAATTAGTAGATAGAAAAAAAGAGTATTTTTTTTAATAAAAACAACATTTTTTTCTTTTTTTTGGATAAAAACAATTATTTAATATTTTCTGTAAAGTAACAATTTATTTTAAGTTTGTTTTTAATTATTTTTCAATATATTTTTCATTTTCTATTCATAAATTCTTAAACATTCTTTTTTAATTTTTGATGTCGGTATCTTTGAAGTTGATCCTCTAGGGCAACTTAAGACTAGGGTCATAATTTTCTTTGAGATAAAGTGTAAATCCAAAATAGAAAGTAGAAAAATATTGAATAGGACTTGATCCTTAGAGCTCTCCGATATAAAATTATTACCCATTCAACCATCCCAGTACCGACTAATCGTCTTGCCTTCATCTTTGTTTTATTTGATAGGCTGGGAGGAAAGGAAACTTCGCTGACCTTGCAATAAAATAAAAGTTTAAAAAAATTGTTTTTCTTTTTTTAATTTAAAAGTTGCCTATTAAACATTTAAAAAATTGAGAACATATGTAAAATATTTAAATTAAAAAAAAATTATTTATAGAAATTTATATGTAGACTTACATAAATATTTAAAAAATATTTTTTCACACACGAGAAAATGCCTTAAAAAAGACAGGAAAAAATAATATAAAAAAATGCACTTTTGTTAAAGAAAAAAACATTTTTTCTCAATTGGGGGGATGTTTGTGTATATTTATTTGGAAATAAGTGAAAAAAAAAGAAAGGACCAGTCAGAAGAACATGTGACTAATTTTGCGGAGAGTTTATTTTTGCGGACAAAAAATATTTTTTAATGAGTTAAAGTGCAATTTTTTAAAGAAAATTTTTTTAAGAAAAATCCTTATAATATTTTAGAATATTTAAAGAAGAATTTAAGGAAGGGCCAACTATAACCCCTAAAAATATTTTGATTCCAAAAATGAAAATATAGCATGCCTACTTAGAGGTTAGATGATTAAAAATGAACACAAAAATTCAAAGCAAAAAAATAATTTCTAAGCAAAAAACCCTTCACGTGGATACAAAAAAGGGAATAAAAGATTAATAAGAGAAGTTAAATTAAATGGATGAGGGACTGAGGAAAAAAACAATGGACTAAAAATATACACAAACATATATAGATGTGTGAGCACGCGAACGGGGAGTTTTTTTTCGGGCTTAAAGAAAAAAGAGAAGGGCTGGCAGCAGATGGAAATGAAAAAAATAAAAATTAAGGAAAGGATAAAATTAGACAAGTTAGAGAAAAAATATGAAGAAGGAAAAAAGTATATGTAAACAACCAGCAGTTGAAATGAAGGACATTGTGGACATTTTTTGCTTTTTTAGAGAGGAAAATTTTTGTTTATTCAACGTTTAGCTTTTGAATTGTGTGGAGGGTTTTTTAGATAAATAATTTATTTAATAATTAGAAATATTGCAGATTTATTTTAATGAAAGTAAAAGATTCAGGCGAACCTCAAACTGCAGTTTTTCCAATAAGTTAGTTCATTAACCTTCAATTTCAAATGCAGTCTATAAAAAATTTTGTCGGATATAAAACAAAATCCAAAATATTATTGCGATTTTCCCGAGAATATATTGTGAAATTTTTTTTATAAAATTGATAAAATTAGAGGATATTTTATTTAAAACAATTGTATTTATGCTTAAACAGAAAAAATCTACTTCTTTAATTAGTGTGAATTTTTATAGTTTATTTTTTAACAAAAAATCCGTTATTCCGTTATACCTGAGAAATTTTCTGATTAAATAATTTAATGTGTAGCGTAATTATATTCGCATACAATTTTTTGGCCCAAGGTTTAAAATCTGAATTTTTTTTCGAAAAACATTTTTAAAATATTTAAGGAAGACTGAAAAAATTAATGGTGAATTATTTTTTAAATATGAAAACTCGACAAATCTATGAAATATTAAGTTAAAAATATACAAATTTGGATAGGGGAGACATTTTGATGGATTTTAAAAATTAATTAATGAAAATAATTATAATATTAATGAAAATAATAATTTCAACATCAAAACAAAAATATTTTTAATATGAGGAAGGAAGAGAGAAAAAGCATTTATTTATTTATACAGCTTGTTAAAAATTGTTTTGATCAAAAATATGAGTCAAACATGACTCAAAACAACAATTTTTGTTAAAGAGATTTTAAATGTATATTTGTGTTTTAATAAATGTGTGTGTAGTTTGGATAGTTTTTTTGGAATAAAAATTAACAAAAATAATAATAAAATAAAAATATTAAAATATTCTGTAAAGATAGCTAAATAAATTACAACTAAATACAAACTAAACTCTCTAAGAATAATCTGAGTTTGCATCGTTATTAAGAATTAAGACAAAAATTCTTTAGAAATTACGAAAAAGATTTAACAGGAAAAGAAGGGATTCTGTGGGTATCTAAAACTGGAAAATCTTTCCGCGTTTCGATAATAACTCTTAATCTTAACTTGACTTAAAATTAAAATAATCTCTAAATTTATTTTTGCATAATAAAATGATTGATGCATGAGTAAATTATCAAAGCATATTATTTTTTAAATATTCCCCCTTATACTCCACCCAATGCTTTTAATTTCTACATTTAAGCAAAAACAAATTAACACCATAAAATTATTTTAACCACTATTTTTGTCTTTCTTTCTCTTTATCGTTTCCGAAGGTTTTCGAGAGAGAGAGTTTTTGGCCAATACCCAAAAAACTGTCCTTATTCTGCATTTTGTCAATATACTTTTTTGCTTTTTATTTAAGGCTTCCTTTCTATTTTTGCATTCCACTATTGCTTTATAATCGTAAACAAAACCAACTTCTAAGTTTTCCCTTAGTATTTTCGCTTACTACTTCTTTTTTGAGTTTTTAAAGCCAAAATAAAAATAAAAAAAGAGAAAAATTAAAATTCTAAATACATATTTGTACATATATTTAATTATGTGATAATGAGGTTTTTTGGGGAAGTGATGTGGAGCTGAGGTAAAAAAGGACTTTTGATCAAGCTTAATGGGAACTTTACCATAATATAGAATAATAAGGAATTGGAGTCTTATGCAGTAGTTGATAAAGTTTGATAAAATGAAATGATATCTTCCTTTCCTAATTTAATCTAAACATTTTTAATTTCTTTTTTAATTTTCTTCTCAGCAACTCTCCCCCCCTCCTCCTCCCTCCCCTTCGAGACTGGCTTGAAAAACAAACAAACATCTCTTTTTTGTACTTTTTTTCACATATGTTCTCTCTCTCCCCTCCATTCTTCTAAAAAATCACAAGGTTTTCTCTTTCCCCTATCATTTAATGTGAAGAACGTGGAACGGATTGATTATAAAGGAGAACGGCGTTCGATTTATATGAGAGAAATTAAATTTAAAAAAATAAAGAGAAATCGCCACAAAAAAATATTTTTTACACAAAATAATCTGATAAAGATAATTTTAAAAAAGTGAAAAACATCATTTATTTGCACACAATTAAATTTTAATAAAAATTAAATTTATTAAAAATAGGAGGATAAGTATATATTAAAAAGTAGGGTTGAGCGGGATCGAGATCCCGACCTAAAATCAGAATCGGGATTTTGGAATGCAACCCCGAATCCGATCCCGCTCAACCCTATTAAAAAGATATAGATTTTTTAATTAAAATTTATATTTTCCAAAACAAATTGGTCATTTAAATAAATAAATAATGACTGGAAGAGTGATCTTATGCTAAAATTTTAATTAAAACAAGAGGGAAAGTATTTCTTAGATTACTTTAATAGGAGATTAAAAGAGAGATAACATTATGAAGGTTTCTTCCTGACAGCTATAGGGTATATTTTCTGAAATATTTCCTGAACAGTTTTTAAAAATCCCCTCACAATTTTTGATTAATTATTTTGTAAATTTTTATTTAAAAAAGTTACTTTTTAAAATAACAAAAATATTTTTTAAAATAATTATTTTGAATTTAAATAAAAGGACATATTTAAAG